GAGATAATTCCGAGTGGATTGGGATTCGGTCTTGCGTGCGTAGGGGGCTGTCTCCTGCGAATGCGGTACGGCCGCTGTCGTGCGGCCTCATCATCGGGGCTGGTGGCATGGCTAGGGCGGCCGTCTATGCGCTGTTGCAGATGGGGGTGAGGAACATTGTCATCTTCAATCGGACACTTGAGAAGGCCAAGAGCCTTGTCGCGCACTTTTCGCGTCTTGTTTCAAGCTCAACAGAAACAGCGAGCGTGTCGTCGATCACGCCTCAGAATCTGCCAAACTTCAAGATTCTCGAGTCACGTGAAGATGCATGGCCAAAGACGCTTCGCCAGCCAACCATCATCGTTTCCTGCATACCTACCGACCCGATAGATGGCGGGCCGGCAGCACAGTTCACCCTTCCCGAGCAGTGGATGGAGAGCCCCACGGGTGGGATTGTCATGGAGACGGCGTATAAGTCGCTCAACACTCCGCTGAAGCAACAGGTGCGAGATGCAACAAACAAACTTTGGACGTACATGGATGGGCTAGATTTCATACCTGAGCAAGCTTTTGCTCAATTTGAGCTGTTCACTGGCAAGCGAGCACCGCGGAAGGTGATGCGAGAGGAGGCGTTTCGTGCATGGAGGGACGAGCAAGGCAACAGTGACGCTGACATGGTAAAGATGAGGATGGAGGCGATTGACAAGCAAGAGCCATAATGTTTCCTGACGATGAGGCGAATTGTAATGTTGAACCATGATATAGATGAACTTAGTTATAAGCATATACCTATACGTGTGTGTATTGTAGTATACCTGGTGACCTGATCCCTGCGGCAATCCGTGGCGCACGTTCCTACGTAGCGAGCCACGACGCGTGCGCGATGCGACAACACATGCACAAAGCTAGTCCGCTTACCGCCCTCATTACTCGAAATATATCTTGTAGCCACGCAGACCAACCCCCGGATCCTCGCACAGCCCTCAGTATTATGCGCAGATATCGAAACCAGCCCACCGCCCGGCAATGACTACGCGCCAGCCCCTCCACCCCATTTCCCCGCCGTCGGCCACTGCTGTCAAGTCACGCTACGCACACCTCCAGAGACCCACATTAGCTACCACCACCACAACCACCACCAGGACCAATGGACTCGGCACCATGGATACCGGAAACCACGACCGACACGACTTGCACGATGCAGATTCCGTCGTGTCTGGACTGAGCGAGCTCGAAAATGACGCCGAAGATGATTTTGATAAGCTCATGATACGCAACGAGCGCGACAGACGACGACTGAGCCAGGCCGCCAGTGGCCGGCCCCAGCCCTTTACAAAGGCGCGCACACATCCGCGTGTGGGCTTGACCCTGGAGAACCTCGAGAGGAACAACGCGGCAGCAACGGCGGCGGCGAGTGCAAATGTCAGCCTGGACCGCCCACCCAGCAGTAGTGGGAGCACGAGCAGCAACCCAGCAATACATGTACCGGCAACATGGGGCAGGAAGGGCAGGAGTAACAGGCACTGGATGCGAGCAATCGCCTACGACGAGGACCAGCAGCAACAGACACCCACGGCCCCAGAAGAAGATGGGACAAACGATCAATACTACGGCAATAGCGCGAACCTGCCACACCGCTCAGTCGAGGACAGCCCGCTCTCGCGCAAGACGTCCATGGTCGGCACTCCACGCGCCGAGTCCGAGGAGTGGGATCTTACCTTTGAGCTCAACGAAGCTTCCATGATTGCATCTACGCCCTACATCTCTAGAAGCACTGTGCTAGATGACATACGGCGGCGCGAGATTGAGAGCTCAAAGGAACGATCGGGTTCGCCCGAGCCAGTGCACCGACGGTCTTCGTTTGCGCGGAAAGCCGAGAGTGCAAGCCATGGCGCATCGAACCCTGAGCCAGTCGTGCAAGAGTCTCCGCCGCCCCAGAAAAAGCTGCGTATGCGCACACAGTCATGGCAGTCCATTGGCAAGTCGCAATCAGTAATGGGTGTGGGAAAGGAAGACATGCCCTCTGCAATGTATAAGAGCACTGAGAGCATAGCTGAAGTAGATCGCGAGGTGGTTGCCACTGCTGAAAGAATCCCACCAAAGCGCGTTCCACATCGTCGACATGACTCACAGGACCTGCTGCGTCGGCTGGCGAGAGCTTCGAACACTCCAAGCCCAGCGCGGCCACAGACGACACCCCCGGACCCGCTGGACGGCTCATCAGAGACAGCAACCACGCGTACACAATCTTCGGGCAAAGAGAGGATGCAAAACGTGGAAGCGAATGCATCCGTGCCCAAAGCCGCTTCCGAACCTGTGGCACCTGCGTCACAAGTGGATACAGAGCGAGAGGGGTCACGAGAGACACCTCAAGAAGTCGAGCGATTGCCGGAATCGTCATCAGAGAAGGGAGCAAAGACCAATGGAGTAGATGCGACACCAATGCCCGCAAAGAGACCAATATTGAACCCCAAGACTCCAGTAGTGACTGGTGCCTGGGTCGACACACCGGGTCCACGTACTACTCAGAGATCTGTCTCTACAAGCAGGTCCCGTTCGCGTTCACGCTCACCCAAGAAAGTCGATCCACGCAAGACCAAGTCGCTTGAGAGACTCAAGCCTAGCGCAGAAGGGTCCGCAAATATTGCTATGGAAGTAGTCCGCCCACAACTACCCAGATCTGCACTGCAAGCACTCGTCGAAGAGGCAAAAGCTCATGACAAACAATCAACAGCGGACTTTGGTGACTCCACAATCAACTCACTCGAGGAGCTCATCACTCCATTGACTGAAATCGCAGTAGACGAGGATACGCTTCAGGGTCTTCAGATCCCAACCGATGCACCCCGCAACGATGCAGAACGCCAAAGACAGCAAGAGCTCGTCCACTTGCATCGCATGAGCGATCGCCTCCGTGCAGCGCGTACTAGCATCCGTGACGTAAGTCGAGGCATGAAGCGTGTTGAGGACCGAGTCGAACATGTCGAAGAAGGAGAAAATGGCGAGAAAATTAAGATGGTCAAGCGGACATGCCTATGTACGAGTGAAGACCATGTGCAGTACTTTTCAATGTGGAAGTGGTGGAAGAGCTTATTCTGGGAGCAACGACTGAAGTCCTTGCGCCAGGTATCCAACAGTCGGCTGAGGTTCTGGGGCGGACTAACGGGTCTGAGTATTTTCCTCATCACCCTCTTCGTCTGGTGGTTAAGCGAAGAGATTGCTTGGTATGTTTATCTACTTGTAACGTCATTTCTTGCTGTGATTTGTTTAACTGACTTTGCTCCTCCAGTGAGTTATACTGTCGGCCCGTGTACGCCCACTCGTATCCCTATCCTTTCAGTGTAAATCCCAATGCCCCGAAATATCCCTACGTCATTCCTACCCTCATCTACCGCAATCTCATCAAGGACTGGTGGGTCCCTGTTTCTTCGTTCTTCTCGTGGCTCGCTGCGACTATTTGGGGATGCGTATTTGGCTTTGAGCAGACGACGCGCATTGGCAATTACATGAAGAGTCAAAGCATGCAAAGTTCAGGTGTGGTAGAAACACATTGGATGAGTGAAGATGCCGCTACACTCATGGAAGAGAGGGGCTGGGATGCGAGCATATTTAACGATGAGATTATGCCTGGGGGGCGTTGAAGCCCTCTTCCCTCTTTTATTTTTGTTTGGAAAGATGCTGGTCAAGCAAAAGTGTTGCTACTTTTAACTTTTTTCCCCTGTTGCATGTTGCTGCATTTGTTGAGCGCGGCGTTTGATTGTTTTTTCTTTTCCTTTTTTATCTCCTCATTTAGCGAGCTTGGGTCTGGAGTTTAGTGCGGAGTTGCATACATACACTACGACTATATGCTGTATTATTACGCTTTTAGCGTGTTGTGGCATTTTGAATAGCAAGAGCGAGATAAAGCGAGTGCATGGGGGATGGGACATGTTAAAGCCTTTCCCGATTGCCCTTTTTGGCTATCTACCAATACATAAATGCAACCGTGGCACACCTTCTTTCGACCCCACGAATAAAGATATCCGAGACAATGTTAATAGTGCATAGCTAAGGTTAGTAGTGAGAACTTCACAGGTTAAGTATTCCCCTCACCACTCCCACTACGACTAGTAGCCATCTCTATCTTATTGCAGGGAAGTTCCACCCTTCTCTCTTTCACATGCGCCGGCACCCTCGAAACCGCCAAAAGATACGCAGGAATGAAGAGGCGCTGCTAGCTTCAAGAGGCAGATTGCCATCTTACATGCGCCCACGATGAAATGGTGAAAAAAGCAAGAACTGACGCACCCATCCCTACACCTCCTCTCCTTCTGTGCTGCAAATTATATTACTCTCCAGCTAAAATCCATGCGAACACACCATCGTACTTACAAACACAAGCGCTTACTGGCGAACTCCCCGCCTACTCCTCCTACTATCTCTGGCGTCCGTATCCTCACAAATCTATTCGCTACAACCCCCCTTGCCCCTCCCCTGCCCCACCCGCTCTCACCTCCCCATCACACGACAAGGCGCCTGCAACAATGAAAGACAACCCCAAAAGCCACAATATGTGAATTATTATCTGGAACCTAGCCTCTTACCGTATCAGAGAGCGCGCGCCTTTGCCTTACGTACCCACACCCTGCTCTTCCTCGGTTTTTCTGTCAGCCGTTTCATGCTCAAACATTCAAGGAGGACCCCTGTGTAAGGAGGCCTGCTTGGCGACACGGAGGTGAAACGGTGGGATTGGAAGGTGGTGAGCGGCGCTGAGGGGTGGGGAGTATTGTTGAAGAGGGGGAGTTGCGCACCCTCTCTTCTATTACTTCTTACTTGCTTGGTGTCTGACTGACGTCTAGCGATAACGTATTGAATAGAGGATTGCATATGTTTTTGAGCGCTGGTCGCATGTATCGATACTGGTCTTGCTGAGGATCACACGACCGGTTTGGGATATCACACTGCTCTTTACGATATCACGCTCCTCTCCGCAAATCCACGGCTGTTGCTTTCCTACCAAACTCCAAATCATTCTAGCAAAAATGATTGGCGGAATCATCTCCACAGTCAAACTCTTTTCCTTTCTCGTCACCTACGAATTCTGGAGCCGGCTCGGATTCTTCGTCGGGTATATCGTCACTTTCCTGCTGGTACTCGAGGTCACACGCCTGGCAAACACCGATGCACACAGGAAGCAAGTCGAGAAGGTGCTCGACTCCTATGCGGCATCGCGATCAGAAAGCGAACCCCGGCGCCCGCGTCCAGCGCCCGAGTTGAAGAAAGTGTCTCTTGAAGAACTCGAAGAAATGGAACGACAAAGCATGATTGCAGAAAAGGAAAGGCGAGCACGAACACCAAGTCCCGCCGTCACTCGTGTACCAGAACCCGAGTCTGTACAGATCGACGAAGAGAGAAGACGGAGACGAGCAGCCTCCACAGCCGCCCCGCCAAAGACATCATCAGCGTCAAGATCTGCCTCGCAATCGCGTCCTCAAGCGCAAACGCCAAGCCCAACCCGTCGTCTCAGGAAACGTAGCGACACACTCAACTCGTCCAGCAGCACCGAGTCCAAAGACGCTGCTGCGAGGAGAAAGCGCCGTGAGGCCTCGCCTGCCGAGTCCAAGACCTCATCTAGACATGCGAGTCCTGCGCCTAAGAGCAGGAGCAAGGAAAGTAGGACCCTGGGAGCGTCGTTGGGGAAGATGCTGAGGAGTAGAGGGTGAAGGTAGTCGACATGGTTGACCCTAGAGAAATTGCAGCGACGATGATGAGTTATGATTATGACTGAAAGTATCGTTACGGTTGCGCAGAGCAACTGTGATTGTTTTGGAGAAGAGGGAAGACAAGGAACGGATAACGGGATATCACAACAACCTTGTTGGGGAAAAGTATGAACTTTTGCATACCAGCGGTACCCGGGCGCGACAAGTACCTGCTACCTTGGGTTTCAGCGCACACGGGACGCGATATGACTATCCGTCTCGCTTGACGCATCGTGGAAAGCTATGTGTGTCAGCAGCATACCACATGAATTGGGGTATTTGTCCGCCGAGGCTAGAAACGGCGAGCGTCGAGCGCGACATTGGTTTCGAGCCAGTGATGTTGAAGCGGGCAAAGATACTCTGAATGGCTGGATACAATCCACACGCCTTCAATGAGAAGCACAAATCACGATATTTCTCCCTTCCATGGCATTCCATTGCGTGAATATACAGACTCCACCATGCCCTTACCCTTACCTTGCACAAAACAACGCACCCTAGCTGTCCATCCACCATCCGCCGCTATCCCCAAGCCCACGGGGTATATACAGCACAGCACAGTCCACGATGCCTAGCCCAAATGATGCAAGAAGTAACAAGTTTCATCACATAAGCTTTTTCAATCGCGTTGTCAGCTTACCCTTTTCCCCGCCGCCAACGATACCCAGCAACCGACCTATTACTAACAAACTGCAATTAAAAGTCGCTTGCAAAGCCAGCCACATACCCTCCTCCAGAGTTCTAGATCAGGGATTATTAAAGAAAGAGAAAAACGGGAAAGATCAGGTACCCAGCGGCAAAACACGCGCAGCAAAGGAAAGGGCCAGGATCTGAGTTCAAAGTGTGGAAATGAAAGAAAGTTGCTCGATGCTCGGGACAAATGCAACAAGGGTAGTGCGGTTAGGCGAGGTGGTGATACCAGGGTGTTGGGTTGTTTGCCGCCGCTTACAAATGACTTACTACCTACTTGGATGGCGCGGGGGCTAAGGGGCTTTGCTTTTCTGTGTAATACTTTTCCAGCAACGAGTGTTTTTTTGGAGGATTTTCCTGGAGGTGGAGAGGGTTGCATGTAGGATGTGTTGGTTGTACATACAGCTACATGCGGTGCCAATGTCGGTGTGGGAATAGTAAGGCGTGCGAAGAGGATCGCGGCGAAAAGTTGCCGGTGGGAGGCTTGGGTGAGGCAGTGAGGTGGCTAAGGATTGCTTGGGATTTATGTTGGGTTGAATGGATGGAGAGATGGAGAGATATACAATTGTGCTTGTGCATGGCGATCTGGATATGGTTTGAATGGGCATAGGAGAATGAACAAGAGTCAGCACAGTGTCCTGGCAACAACAATAACCGTTGGTTGGCAGCGGGACGGGAGAGTGTGCGCTTTCGAGCTCTGTTTAATTGGGGAACCCGATGAATAAGTTACACATTTACCCTCCATGTAACTTGAGGTTCGACCCATCCATGAGGTTAAAGCCTTTCAGCCCTTAGCGACAGAAGACAAAAAGTGGTGTGGTTTTGGTAAGGATGCAAGGCCAGCGCTACAGGGACGCGCAATCCTTCCCCCCATCCTCAAGGTGCTCTTCGATCTACTGCTAGCATGCTCGATGCACGCATCGTATGGTCAAGAGTCAAGGTTGATTATAAAATACGGTTGGTTTCCACCCCTGCACACCTGATTAGGTGATGGTGTCGTCGGCCAAGCTAGTTAGCTCTGGTCTACCCCACACATTGCCGATCGAGAACTGACAACACGTTTCTTACCCCTCCCCTGCAGTTGGGGCTAGTACGTACTACCATTCCAGAATCTTTACTTCCTTTGACCCTGGCTTTTTCCGGACAGAAGGTTGAAGTTGGGCTAGAGTGAAACCAGACCAGTTACTCCGTCAGCAAGGGATTTGAGATCTACCCTTCGTTTGGGAGACGATGCTGATGGCCGTGAAACGTGCAAAGCAGCAGACAGATGGAAGAGAAGTGAAATAAAAAGATGGCCGGTTAGGGACTAAGCCTCCGATCGTGAGGTGTCGTGTTCACAGCCTCGATGCTGCTACATATTCAGGTTTTCCACTCGCGACAACACGCGGACAGGACTAGATTGCTTGGATCTACCACAAATGAATGGCCTACAGTTTCAAGGCGTCATTAATCCGCGTGTGTCGTGACTTGGCCAACAGATCTATGATATCACTGGTGCTTACCAGGCCATACCGCACGACATAAGCCTCGTCTTGAAGCGAGCATCACCATACTGCATTTGTTCGGCCTAATTGGTTCGAGCAGGGGTCTTGGAGAGAACTCGCCGGTGCCGTCGGTTCCTGGTGCACTTGGAACAGGCAACGGCATGACTAGCAAGAGAAGAGACGGGATGGGCTTGTTTGTGGCTATGTCGCTGGCGGTGATGGTACTTATTGCATTGTTTCCCCCCAATTCTCAATTGTAAGGCACTCGAAAAAGTTAACCTGACAGCAGCTCTACCACTGTCTTTGCTCTTCTTATTGTTTTTCTTCTTTCTTCACTACATCTCAGCATTCAATTAGCTATGCTCAAGCAGCTCTCTATTGCCGCCGCCCTTGCGGCTGCTGCCGTCGCGCAGAACACTCCCAGTCTCGCCGACGCTTTGAAATCGTCGTCCGAACTATCGACTCTTGCGGGTCTCGTCCCTCAAGATGTTCTTCAGACACTCAGCAGTGCCAGCAACATTACCATCCTCGCGCCCGCAAACTCGGCTTTTGAGAAAGTCAGCCCTCAGATGTTGTCTTCTCTGACTAGCACCCCTGGTGCTATTACTGCCCTCCTCCAATATCACGTCCTCAATGGATCATACCCATCCTCTGCTATTCCAGACGAGGGCGCTTTCGTTCCTACGCTCCTGACTAATACGTCGTACACCAATGTTACTGGCGGCCAGGTCGTACACGCTACGACTGATGACGACAAGGTTGTCTTCTTCACTGGAAGTCTAAGCAACTCGACCGTCACCACAGCCGTACGTCCCCAAATCCACCTTCACCCTTCCCCTTACTAACAAGTCCAGAATGTCAACTTCACCGGTGGCGTAATCCACATAATCGACACCGTCCTCACCATTCCCGGCTCCGTCTCCGACATCGCCACAGCCGCAGGCCTAACCTCAGTCCGCGGTGCTCTCGTTTCCGCCAACCTGGTCGAAACCGTGAACACCACCCCCGACGTAACCATCTTCGCACCCACCAATCAAGCCTTCCAGAACATTGGTTCTGCCCTCCCCGGCCTCTCCGCCGACGACCTCACCAAGATCCTTACTTACCACGTGATTGCCGGTACAGTCGGATACTCGACGCGCCTCGCAAACGGCACCTCCATCGCCACCGTCAACGGCGCCAACGTCACCATCACCGTCGACGACGACGGCATTTTCGTTAACAACGCCGAGGTCGTTATCGCCGACGTTCTCGTTGCCAACGGCGTCGTCCACGTTATCGACCAGGTCTTGAACCCTAACAACGCTACTGTTGCTGACGGTGACGACGGTGAGCCCGCATACCAGAGTGCTACTCCCGTCTCTGAGGCTCCATTTACTTCGGGCCAGCCTACGCCTTCTGCACCTATTGGCGGTGGTGCTGGAAACGGTCGTCCTACTGGTACTGGCTCGCCTACCAGCTCCTCAGGACTCCCTCAGGCTACTGCTAACGCTGCGCCTGCGGTTGCTGTATCTGGTGGATTTGCTGCCCTCCTTGCTGCTGCTGCCTTTTTCTTGTAAGCGGGGGGAGCAGTAGTATGAACTGGATGTAATTCTCTAAGTGTGTGCTTTGGGGGGATGAGTGTATTGATACCACGAGGTCTTAAGCGCTTGTTGACATAAGGGTGTTTGTTTGTGGAGGGTGTATGGGATATGAATGATATGGTAATGGTTTCGCATCTTTATCCATGAAATTAATTAATCGAATGAGATTTTTGTCACTTGATCTATTTGCATTGATGACTGGATACGCTGTGGTGTGATTATAATACGTCTGAGAAAATGTGTGCATGCAGCATGCGGTTAGTTAATTCGATAATATTTCAAAGCGTTTTCGTGATCCGAATGTGTTGCTGTGGGGAATTCTCGGATGTTCTCTTCCAAAGTCATTACACATTCAAACTTCGATTTCTTCAATTGCTACACCTGACATTTCCCCACACCACACTCATCCTTCTCATTGAAGCCCTCGAAATCATCACACATAATCTTATTTCTTTCATCCACTCTGCCACACAAGCACAATCAACGTACCCGCGAGCTACACACCCAAGTCTCTTCCCTCTATCCACCAACTCAAACCCTGCACACACCTCCTACGGCGCCTCACTAAACGTAATCTCACACCGATGCGCCTTTGGCGCAATGAGAAAGAAGTTCTAAAGTTAATCACTTTCGTTAGCCTCATTTCCCTTCTTTGCATAAAAGTAGAACAAGAACAAGAAAAATTGTCTGAGCAAGAGGGAAGAAAAAGACATACCTCGAACTCCATACTCTCAGGCGTCGTCCTCTCCCCCAACCTTATTCCCTGACACTCGCGAAAGAAAAACGCACACGCATACCGCAACTCCATGCGTGCCAGATGAATCCCAATGCACGACCGCGCGCCCGCTCCAAACGGGTGAAACGCCAGTTTAGCAGCGGGAGAAAGTGCTTCCGCCACGCCGGTTTCTTTATCGGGAATCCAGCGCTGGGGGTTGAATCTACATCGCTTGAAGTCAGCACATCTCTCTCGCAAGAAAAGATTAGTGGGTGGGTGGATTAACAGGATACTTACGTCAAAGGCTCACTCCAAATCTCCGGATCGCGATGAAACGTATACGCCTGCGTATCCACCGTAACACCCTCTGGTATAAAATGGCCTGCGAACTTTGTTCCGCCCTGCGGTACAACGCGCGGAAGACTACTCGGTGCAGCACCATACAGCCGTAACGTCTCTTCGATCACCGCATTAAGCAGTGGTAGGTTAATAAGGTCGTTCTCTGTAAAATCGTCTTGTAACCTTCCAACCTCTGTTTCTAGGGCAGTTTGCAACTCCGGGCGTTGCAGTACCGCCCACGTCAAGTACGTAAGCGTCACACCTGTCGTGTCTGTACCAGCGATGATGACGTTCATAGCTTCAATTCTTACGTCCATGTCGTCGATGTGGCCTTCACCTTCCTTCTCACAGTCTTCGATGACCTTTGCGAAGATGTTGTTTTCACCGGTGCGGGAGCGCGCGGTTTCGACGGCTTTGCCAGCGCCCTGGAGGATGAATTCGTTGGCGTTGAACATTTCTTGGATGGCGGTTATGGGGATGAAGCGGAGGAGGCGGAGGAGCGGCATTTCGACCATGATGCCGGCTCCCATGGTGAGTTTTTTGAGGACGCGCATGAACTGGTTGGTCTGAGGGGTGTGTTGCCGTTAGCGTTGCTGAAAAGGGTTGTTTTTTAACTGAAGGGGGATAAGAGAGGAATCTTACGCGTCCGTCTTCGAGCATGCCGAAGGAGTCGCCAAAGGCGAGATGGGCACTGACATCCGATGCTAGTAGCATCCACCAGTTGTACACATCTGCTGTGCTTTTCACGGCGTCTGCCTTGATCTTTTGCACGGCGAGGAGCGCCTTTTCCTTTACGATAGGTTCCCAGTACTGTACGAGATAGGACCTGCTGAACGACCTAGACAACAGCTTCCTCCGCGGACCATGCTCGCGCGGGTCAAGCATGGTGAAGACACCGGCTTTGGGGAAGTTGGCAAGGCGGAGGTACCATTCACTCTTCATGTATTTTGTGCCAATCTTGTGAATCTCCTTGAAGGCATCGAGGTCGGCAACGCCCACTTCTGTAGGTGAGAGTCGGACAATTGGGCCATACTTCTCGTGCAGTGAGTCGATGTAGAAGATGCGCTGGCCGGTGACGACGGCACGTTTGAGGCGGTAATGCGTGAAGCGTGTGTACCAGGGGCCTGGTAGGTGTCTTGTTGGACATGTAAGGCCCACGTAGAGAAACTGCAGGGTGTGAGTTGGTGCTTTATGGATGAGGATGGTGCATTGGTATAAGTCTATGTACCTTTGCTACTACAAGGCCAATGGTCAGGAGTACCAGAGATGGTGTGCTTGGAATAGCCATCACAGGTAAGATTATGGTTTTCAAAGATCGTATCGTCACGCAATTGACTGATGAATTTGCTCTAGGAGGACACCACTACATATGTATCAATCTCTCACAAATCTCTTTCCTTTTTTCTTTACTTTAGTCTGGCTCAAACACCTGGGGATCCGGCGAGAAGATGGCCATACTAGCTAAAGTCCCTTAATGTGTTATGCTCAAGTTGTTGTTGTAGAACCGTGGAATTGAAACTGCACAATCCGCCAATGGAAAGTACATTATAGTGTCTTCGATAGTTGAAAAAGGCACATCTATGACTTCGTGCGAATATTGAAAGCAGGGGTGTAGCGTGCTAAAAGATGTGTGGCGTCTGGCTGTTTGATGGCAGCAGAGGTAAGGCTGGACCCACATTCCGGATTGGGTCGTTGCCTTGATCGCAAGATTGCATGCATACGTTGCAGTATGATCTTCATGATTTCCCCTTGCGTGTTTGCTGATCAAAGAGTAAATTCGAGCTTGCACAGCATCTCGTGTTGTGCCTCGTGCAAAGGGCGGTTGGTGATTAGGATCGACGGATCTGCAACATGCCCATGTTCCGCATCTTCGATGTCTTCAGGGCGAGGATGAGGCAAACCATGCAGCAGCCCGTTATGGTTTGGAAAGAAAATGGGGATCTGATGGATCGCCTTGCAGGATGTCGCATCCTCAATTCTCGTTAGCAGTACTTACACGGCTCCGCTCAATCCCCGGACGTGCATGACCAACCTCCTCCGGCTCCACGCATTGCCGGCCTGCACGTGCTCTTCTTTCACGTTCTAGTCGCATACAAAAGTAACGAAGACTACAAGCTATGCTGCAATGGCGTTTGGTTGATGTTTTAGCACGCAAGTAGCGGTGTTGTTTTGGTGATGCGGTTGTGCTGGGGCCGACTTTGGCTCTGTCGTACGCTAACTATTGGATGGAACACTCTCAGCATCATCGTCATTGGTACTCAACGGCAGTACTAGCTGGGCCGTCCCAGACACTGTGCCGTGATCTGCTGGGTTTTGGGTATTGCTCTGCTGGCAATTGAACCCATGCTCAATAGCACAGGACTTAAGCAATTGGCGTTAGGTACCGCTCATATCTATGCACAGAACCCTCGAATACTTGATCCGCTGTCTTCCAAGCCTCGGCCAAATTCGACAGTACGGCTCGAGCATACAGAAAGGGAGTATATTCACAGTAGCTCCGCACGAAATTTTCCGGGCGTAGTTGATCCAGGAGCTTTGCTACTAGAAGCTAATCTTGCTGTGATCCCGTCACGTGACTATATTGATACCGGGCTGACTACCATGCCGAGTCTGTCTGTGCCTTGCCAACACATAGAACCCCAGCTTTTGACCGAATCCCATGTTGCTGAGTTACCAAAAGGGGTTTCTGTCGGTGACGAACTGTTCAGGTACCCCTCCTTCCAAGGCGCCGTGATAAGATGCGCAAGCTCTCGTGCCCGTTTTGGTGCTCAACGCAATTTCGGAACATTCGGGGACCAAAAGCTCAAAGTTTGGTTCTAGGGGGGTTCGGCGTCGAAGGCTTCTACGCTAAAACTCACGACACGTTAGTGCTGTATTCAATGCTTGCCGCATAGCGTAGTTCCATCCCTTTATGATGAGGAACCTTGGTTACGACGCGGCTTCGCATGCGACCTGATATCTCAACCATATATCTCAACGTTCCAGACAACCGGTACCTTTGTTCTCATTTATGGCGTTGAAAGGTTAGCTCACGAGCTATCTAACCCACAGACTATGTGAAAGTGGATGAAGTGAAACAACCGGGCGGGTACTGGGCCGCTGTCAAAGAATAAGCACATGCAGCACATAGCACGTCTCCATTTGATGATCAATCTGTATTGGGACCATGTTGGTGTTGAGTGCGGCAAAAACTGGTATAGTTTTCGGGAGATGGCAAATGACCATCCGTGAGCAATATGCAAGGCACGGTGCAAAGGGAGTGGGTACCAGCTCTCGTGTTGCACAGGCATCTACCACGTGTTGCCTGCAGATATGGCAATTAAGCCACACCTTAAATGGCATTAATCTTCCAATCCAAAGCCTTCGTTGCAATTGCGCGGTTTGCTAGTAGAACAAGGGCCACCAGATCGCGGATCTTTAGCTCTCTCCACAGCATCAAATGCTTGGCACCCTCTTTGGCGTCTTCTCTAGTGTCTTCTAGAGCCCGAGCTTCGATTGGCGAGAAGAACCGAAGACCAGGGACCTGATCGCCGTCCAGGGGTGCAGGTGGATGACCCTTTTACAGCTCTTCAGCCTCACGTGCTACCTACCACCGCAAACGTGTTCGTGAGATCAACCATAGCACCATCAACTAAGACACGGAGGATACCTATCGGTCAGACGCTGCTTTCTCAGAACGGTATGTGACCGTCCGGTCCGCAAACTTGACACTGCGACAGAAACACGGCACGCGGCCCTCAGCCATGCTTATTGCCAGTAATGCACAGCCAACGTTTCGCTCAACCATATCAGCGCGCTTACTGAAGCTAACACCGTTAGCCATCCCAACTCGTGGCAAGTTCCCCTGGTCTAGGAGGCGGCCCAGCTGAGGCTGTCAAAGCCATGACTCGTCTGTGGCGCCCACGCATTCTGCTGATTGCATCGCCCATCTTGCCTGGTGTAAGCTCGTCTTCTTGGGGCGTCCCTTGGTACAGAGCAGCTCGTGACTCGGTGATGGCATCATGCCTGTGAGGCAACGGCCGTGCTGACCCGTTTTTTTGAATATGTCGCGCGCAGATATATGAGTATTAGCAAGGTAGACCCCGTGCTGACATGTTTCATACAACCAAAGATACTTATTTCGCCGAGAAAGTCTTGCGCCTTTGTTTCGTCTATCCTTATCTTCCCCCAATGTACAAAACTGGCGCTTGTACTCGGGATTTGTGATGACATTTTCGCCACTCTCGCTTTGTGATCTCAGTGCCAGCCAAAGATAACATTATCATGTTCCGCTTGTCGAAATCCCGAAAAGAAAAGCCAGAGAAAGGCTCTGTTGATTTGTAAGTAGGAGTAGATAGCGCCGAGTTTGAACGCTTCAGTGCAGACAATGGTTTCATGTAGAACACGAGCAGACGCTTCCAAGGCGATGCCAACAGTCTCGTCCGTACTCGACCACTGTGCTCGTAGTCGATACATCTTTTCAGTCCCAAATATATCCGCTGACCTCCATGTAGATGCGAGCCATCCCGACCACGAATAATCAATGGCTTCAAGAGACGAGCTTCGAGCACTCTACGCTCCGTAGCGATTCCGCAGGTAGTTGTGCGGACACCTAGACACTCAGTCATCAAAGCCACTGGACCGTACCTTTCGGATGAAACCTCATATAGTGACCGCCGCCTTACTTTCTCTGGCCATGCGCCACGGCAATCCGGACACTCCAGAGTCTGCTCAGACGATGGATACCAAATGCCAGGATATTTCCACAAGAGCCTACCTAGAGAAGTCTATGATTGCATTGTTGCGCAATTAAGTCCAATTCACATGGACCAAGAGGGAGCATGCGCAACATGCTATCTAAGAGATCTTCACAGCCTCTCCCTTACTAGCCGGGCGTGGGGGAAAGCTGCAAATGCAGCAATGTACCGGAAGGCACTGGTGCTGGCTAATGAAGAGCATGGAGCGCATCCGAGGCTGAAGATAAAGGGAACCAGTCGACTAAAGCTACTTCGAAGGACTCTTCGCGAGAGCTCCGTCCTTGCTGAGCAGGTAAAGGAGTTGCAACTTCCAGCCTTCCAGAACCTATACCAGAATGCTACCATCGAGCAAGAGGAGATTTTGAATTTGGTGGCGTCGTTGGTCATGGCCTGCCCTCGTCTGGAACGCCTCGTTGGTTTCCACGTTCCATTCACAAATGCTTTCGACCGTCTATCGTATGCCCTATCGACACGATCGAACCTCAAGGAGCGGACGTGGATACTGGGTAATGCTGAGAACGAACTCAACGAGGAAGACGAAGACGAGATGAGGGGCCACTACATTGTCGAATGCGACCCTACCGAACATTTCCTTGACTTGAATTCCAATCACCCCGAGCTATCTACTCTGGTCTTGCATCAGGGACCGAACAACTCCTCATCACCCCTCAACTTCCGAGCCATCGTCGGCACACTTCGAAGCTTTCCACAGCTACGTCATCTATCGATACGCGGGCTACCTGCGACTTCATTCACAAACATGGTATTAAACGCTTTACCAACAAACCTGCGAAGTCTTCGTCTCGAGGCGCTTCCTGGCATCACGGAGAAGGGCATCCAGCGCTTCGTAACATCGCCGCAAGCGACCTCGATCCAGAAATTGACACTGGTTGGCATAGATATCAGCGTTCATACACTAGCAGATATTCTGTCGCCTTCTCTAGCTAGCCTAGAGGAATTCTCCCTGGTTCAAAATAAGGCACCTGCACTGCGAGAACACGAATCAACACCCGTGTTCCATTCACCATCGCTTCGCTACCTCCACTGGGAGTTTCGGTCTGAGGCTAGTTCTCTTTCTGCCCCCACCTTTGAATCACACGAGTCACCAACATCTCTATCGACAAATCCAGAGCCAAGCTGCTGCATCGCTACATATATCCTTGCAGCCGGTATCATGGACAACGGATTCCCGTCCCTCTGCCACGTCCGCATTCCTCACGATCCCCAAGGCACCATCCAATCACTCTGCAAACCGCTCGCCACAGCACTTCTACCAGCCGATATTTCCCAGCTTGCTCTCGTACCTCGTACCATCAGCTCAGTCAGCCTTCCATTTGACGAGTCAGTTTCTACCTCGGTTCGGGAAGACGGAATGTTCAACTGTGCTGTGGGGTCAGAGACCCGCGTCGACTCTGTCGTGAGCTTACCTAGGTATGGGCTTCCCGCCACAAACGCTGCAATCGGTACCATTCTTACGCCCATGCGATCACGCATCGCAGCGCAATCGCGCATCTTGGCTGCAAGGAAGGAAGCCGGCATGATGATCCGCGTGATTGATCCAGAGGATGAGATCATTGTGGAGACGGTGTTTGGATCATATATCGGCGACCTGGGGAGCAAACTCAACTACGAACTGCAGCCCGATCGATGCGCTTCCGGGCGCACAGCATGGGTGACGGAGATGGAAGACTTGATAGGCTGCAGGGTCGACCAAGATGGAGATGGGATTGAGTGCACGTGGGACCTCTGTGGACACACCAACGGTACCAGTGTGGATGGAAAAGTTGTAATGGTTGATGATCTTTTTTAGACACCTTTGTTGGCCTGAGGCGGCATATACAGGCTTTGCGATTGTGCAGCCTATACGGCATGAAGGCTGCGTTCGTTGTTGAATATTTTCCTTTGTACTTATGATACCCTTGACTTTGTCATAGCTAGACAAATACAATACTTTGATACTTGAAGGACATTCTGCTCATGATACAATCAGTCATGTCTCTGTTCCCCAAATGATGTCCTGTGTTTAGTCACAGTCGTAGGTCCTACTTCAACCCAACCTGACTAGCCTAGTATATGCAATAGTGGTATTCAAGAACATAAGCCGTGTGTAGCCTTGATTTAGGATGCATAGTGTTAGCGGCAAGCGAGCATCATATATAACCTGTCTTGATTGTCATTGTCCTACGAGTGGAAGTTGTCTGGGCGAAGAGGAAAAGAACAGTATGCTGCAGCCCGGGCAGTGGTGGTACCTAAAGTGGATCCTCAGATCAAAACGCCATTAGAATGCAATACTAAGCCACATATTCATGAATACGAGTCCAACAACATGTCAAAAGATTGTGACAGTTCGTCGACGTACAAGTGAGGCTAAGTCCAGTGGTGGAATGGCCAATGATGATGCTGGATCTGCGAGGGGCTTGGTCTACGTATGTACGTGACGAAACACGCACACGCACAACCCCCATGTAGGACGGGGATCCGCGCTCCGCTGCACGACATTCCAGCTCGTCTCAGGCTCCCCACAGTGGAGCAGAGCTAAAGCACGACGCACAATCCATGGCTGTGGGACATGTATGCGAGTCACAGAAGAATTGCTAGCTATTTCAGCCTCGCGCATAAGCATAAGCATGATCCAGCCTGAGGCCCGACTAAACCAATCGGTCATTACATCCGACATGTCTTATTCGATCCAAATGCGGTGACGAGTTGCATCGCAAGGAGGACACACGCCTTTCATGCAGAGTGACATGTAGATAAGAGAGCAAGTCGGAGTTTGTCATCGACCCTTTGGCTGACTCTCGGTATTTGAAACGTCGCTTGGTAATTGGTGGTTCACTCCTGTGGCCCTTTTCCCTAGGAGTTCTATTGAGTGGCTGGAACGGAAGCAATCAAGGTAGGTCTGTTCAAACCAGACGCATGCAACACGGACATGCTGTCCACTTGGCCAGAGAGAGCATTCATTTATGAGGCTAATTCGTGCCACCTTCCCAATCACAGCACAGCGCAGCGAGAATTTCGTTCCTTCCTCCAAGCTGGAAAAGTCTACCTATTCTGCCTGTGCCCGACTAAGAAACCCTTCGCCTTACCTTCCCGCCAAAATATATTATCTCTCCACCTTTGTGCTACCAACCGCATACCAAGACTTCAGCTCGGAGGACTAGGTAAAAACACTCCACTGCCAATGCCGCGTCGGAAACCATGCATGCCAAAAATACCCCCGAAGCTACCCTGGATCAGGATAGGGCAATGGTGTGGTAAATATCGGACCTCTCTAAACAAGTGGTACGGCATAACTGAAGGCGCTTTATTTGGTCCGAGACTCGCGCGCCGCCCGATCTCAGCCTCAAATACTTACCTCGTACCTCTCCGCGGATCAGTGTCAACTCTTCACAACTAAGAGCCAAGGCAGGGGTACAGAGCCAGATCTTATTCCCGGACACGACCGTGTGCCCAGTCTGCACGTCACTGCAAGCATCCAACAACGAGCGACCCCGTAACATCGGATAGCTGCATAACCAAAATATTTGCCTGATAGGGAATTACAATAGCAAGACAAGTGGGCCGCACGGATCACGTACAGCACAAAATAGGTAGTGGGGACCTCGCCGTGACTGTCCCCACTCATCTCCCTTAGGGCAAATAGAGTCGAGATACCAAAATTGCCGAATCAGGAATTGCGAAAGGATCACCCCAAAAGCCGGAAAAGTGGGAAAATAGGAGAAAGATGGAGCCAGGCTCGTCCAGTCGATGAAGCTAGCCTAGACCCTGGAGGAAAAGCTACAGGAACAACAGGAGTCTCACCTGATACGAAGCCCATCACATACATATTCCTGCTGTCCCTCAGTCTTTCACATACGTCTAGAACAACAGCCAAGCCAGCACCGCAAGCCACAGATACGTCCACGCGCAAGGGGCACCCACTTAAAAAGTTGCTCAAGCCACACATGCCCTCCGCCCCGCCGCGCCCCAGAAAAAAATGGAGCAAAGGAAAGCAAGAGCAAAAAGGCAGAGCTAAAAAAGCGATTACAAACCTACTTGATCCATGCATGTTCTATTCGTAGCGCGCGTGCTGGGTAGTGTAAGCCAACCGTCTAAAAAAAAGCAAAGGACCATTATTACATATAATGCCCATCATATCCCTCATTTCCAGCAAAAAAACAGACAACAGGATCAAAACAACGACAACAACAAACACAACCATACGATACCCATCAAAACAACCCACAAACACACCCACTCAAATGCACCTCTTGCGTCACACGCCCCGATCGCCGCACCGCACCGCACACACAGCACGCAACACGTGCACACACGTCGGAACACTCCATCCGACACACCTACCTTGGCACCATACTAACCCTCCCCACTCCCATCTCCAATCACACAGCGCAGCGCGCGTGCGCGCCAAGTTAAAAAAAGAGTGGATACCACGGCACTTGCTATGAAAGATGGACTCGACAAGAGAATCGGGAAAAAAAAAGCGCCACGAAGTGTTGGAGAAAAGGAGTGGAGTAAAAAAGTTGTGGAAACGCGCACGCTAGAAGAAGACGGAAAGTAGGGTAGGTGGTACCCGCGGAATTAAAAGCGTGGGTGTGGTGTGGCGCTTGCTCGCACCCGCCGTGGTTTACTGGCTCGCGGGTTTGCACACGTCCCTTGTCCGGTCCTGCTTCTTTCCCGCTCGTCGGGGGGGGGGGGGGGCGGGAGTTGTAGTACATATAGAGATGGGCGAGACACAACGAAACTGGTCGGTCTGGTCCTTCTTTTTGATGGTGGTGATGGGGGGGTGTTCCATTCAACCAGTGCATGATTATGTTTTGCAAACGGGCAAGTCACACATCGAAATGGTCTGTACGTACTATAGCGAGGGATTGCGCGATGCGTATGCCATGGCGTTTTATGGTATTCCCGATCCGAAAACATGCGCACGCTCACCGATCACAGCAACATTCGGCATTGCAAAAACAAGCATGCCAACGGCTTCTCCACTACAAAGCATCCAAGGGGGGCCCTTTTAATTTGTGAGATTTTTTCATTTTTTAGGTTTCAAAAGGATTTTTTGTCCTCCACTCCCACCAACACCCTCCCTCTATCGAACCGGCCAAAACTCCATAAGACATGGGAAAAGCAAGTTAAAAGAAGGAAGAGTTACAACGACAACAACAAAACAAACATCTGGCTTTCTCTCTAACGCCCTGGTTACTATGCGACATAAATGGTCCCTCAAAAAAACCCCAATGCGACTTTGCTGTTGGCGGGAAACAACAGCAGCCCAAGTCCAGCTAAAAGCTTTCTAACCGCTTTCAATACTACTCAAATAGTATACACGCACACACCCTCCGGAACCTAGTAGAGTAAGAGGAGGAGCATGGTAAAAGATAACCTGGAAATTCTTCCAGACATGCGAAATCCAGATATGCAACAATGCGCACTCGTTTTGAGCAAAAACTCCGCTAAAATAAAACACGCGACTACAACCGAGTCTGGAAAAACGTTGCGCAGCTCTATGAAAACGGCCGGGTGGGAATGTTGCCTTCGAGCTGTGGCATGATTTTGAGAATTTTAGGGTCAATGGTCCAGTTGGCCAACTCGATAATGGTGCTTTCAAAAAGGGGAGTCATTCGTGAGTATCCAGCCTCAATGTCCCAGTAGTGGCATAAGTCGTCGGCATGTGGCCATTTGATGCCAATTTGGCTAATGAAATGGCTAACTGAGAATTCCTGGGGGTGTTGATATAGCAACTGTCGTACCTGAGGCCTGGAAAAAGACATTAGCATGGACAGACACCAAGGATGGAAGAAAAAGCACTGTCGATTTTGTGGTAGGAGAAAGAGCAAGCCAAGTGTCGTGAATTGGAGAAAGAGCCTGGGCACAACATACCATGGAACAAGGTCGATCAGCATATCGTACGGCGAATTTTCCTGCTTTCCCATTGTCGGCATCATCCAATCCGGGTTTCCGTTCATATTTTCGGCACTCGGCCAGATGAGATACTGGAGACTGGATCAGACACGGTCCTTTGCGAAAATGGCCATCTCAGCACTTACCCGCATCAACTTTGTAAGGAGCCAAGTGGCTGCAAGCCGGACTGGAAGAGAGGCCGTTGGTAGTATTCTGTTGCAAGCTCTTGCGCACCATGTCGAGACTGGCTGCACATCTTGCAGGTCCGTGAAGCCAAGCAACAGAGTATCCACATCAATCTCACATCGGCCAAATATTTGCACCTCACTCCACCCGCTTGCAAGGAGATCCCGCTTTGTCCTCCGGTAATACGCGCAGTCGAAACTGAACTTGCTCATTGCGTTTGTTGAGTCTTCGAGAGTCATGGGCGATGGGTTCATCGCTACCGTGCCATCAACCGGGGTAACGTCGTGCGAAAAGACCAATGACGAATGACTTTGTGCTCGGCTTGGGGGTTTGGGTCAGCGTTTGGTTCACTTGTAGCGCGGGTAACCAATTACCTATCTTCTCGAGAAGATGCCCCATACGGCGAGGCGCCCATGTGGTGGGGAGCGGTAGCAAAGGCCTCGCTACCAGGCGTTCCGAACGAGTCGCCTTCTGGAAGAGCTGGTGTCGGGCCTGCCAAGGAATCGTGGTTTGATACAAGAAGCGGCTCATGTGGATCCCCCGTCATGGGTCCTGAAAGTGCCTTCCTGACATCGTCGGCGGAATGATGGGCGAATCCATTCTTCTCAATCTCTGCTGCCCAGCTTGCTGCCAACGCACGATCTGGTGTCATGGCAAGCAGGGAAATGATTGACTTCATGTCCTCGAGTTCCTTGACCAGTCGCCGTACGTGGGCGCGCAGCTGGGTCGTTGTCTTGCCGTCTTCTGCGACATCGTACACGCACGTGAGGTTCTTTGACTGGCAAGTGTTGCATTTTGGTCGGACACCATCACACTGGAAAAAAGAGACCTGTTAGCTGGCCTGCGAGCAAGTCAATTGGGTGGGCAGCTTGGGACGGACCTTTGACTTTCGCTTCCTGCAGCTCTCGCATGCTATGGAAGTGATTTTACCACGGGGAGTCCGCAATGCATATGTGCCGGCAATGGGCGAATGGTGCTGACCTCGAGCGTTTGCCAGGGCGCCCCCAAGGCCTTGCTTGGGCGCCAGCGGGGCTTTGTGGTTCGCAGCGGCGGACGCTGCCGGGGGTCGAATCACAAGATTGGTCTGTTGGCTGTTGTCGAGATGGAGTGGAGCTTGGCCTTCGTCCCATTCAGACGAGTCCTGGCTAATCAGCTGTTAGCAAATTCACGGTCCTCGAGCAAAAAGTGGTGACATGAGATGCCTCTGTGCTCCTCTAGTAGGCGAGCGCATTCCGCCTGCGATTGCGCCTGCTGTCGGCTAGGTTTGCGTTGATATGCGCACTATCGGTGGTGCGTTGGACCCCGCGCACACGGTGCCCAGGTCTCGTCTCCCGAAACGAATGCCGATGAAAATCCCAAGACAAGTGGGCATGAACGTGTCATGGTCACGGCGCAGCCAGCAAACAGGTCTATCAAATTACCTTTACGGTAATTGTAAGCCTTTGAATGGTGTGATTTTTTCTCTCCGTCTCAGTGAGCAGTCAGTTGCCGAGGACAAGCAGACGACACGAGGATGTAAGATGTTGCCGCCGATCCTTGCCGAAACCAAAGAGGATGATCGTTGGAACAGAGCTTCGCGATTGTCATGTATCCCTTGGCATCTCCGGATCGTGACGGGACGTCGGAGCAGTCTGCTCCGCACTGGTAGATGATGGAGTTTTGGATCCTGGGTCGGGTCCGAAGGCGACTGTGTCGGCGACAATGGCGATCCACGAGGCGGAGAGTGCAGAGAGTCGACGAGGCAGAAGGTCGTGGTTGCCAAACCAGACCGGAACAGAGACCGATGAGCTTCACCGTGCCTGCCGCGTACGTACGTATGTATTATCCATACACACACGCACGCATACTCGCACCGAGGAATGTGTACCAACATACACATGTCCATCCATACACGCACATACGTCGGCTGAGGGAGGGGAGGGGGGGTCCTCCGAGACCATGGTGGACAAAAAGACTGATGATGATATGTGCACTCACATTTGGATTTCCGCTGCCTGTGCAACAGCGTCCGAGGCACGGCGCATCAAGCGTAGGCTGGGGGCTGTTTGGGAAAAACCTTGTAGGGTGTCTGGCAGACTGCCGTTGCCATACCAGTAATTTATTCCTGTGCAGCATGTCAGCGGTGGAGCTTCAGTGGGCTGCTGGCGGGCTGCAGATAGGCAGGCAGGCAGGCTGGCTGGCTGAGAGCCGACGTACCTGAAGAAGATGTCGAGGGTTGTGCAGGCATGAATGCGAGCATGTCTCGGTGCTGCGGCTTGAACAGAAGGAGCTATGTCGGAGTTGGGGTGGTGGTTGGTTGGCTCGTTGGTGGACAAGAAGGATTTGCCAGTAGAGACTTCATGTGCAGTGCAGAGGAAGATGGGTCATGCACTTTGGGCATTAACTCTGTATATCTTGCGCTGGGGCACTGGGCCTGAGGTTCATTAGTGGCCGGCAAACTCCTATGCGGAACTGCTGACAGAGAAGCAGAGCTGGAACGAAGTTTCAAAGGCGTCGCCCACCTAAACACCAGCCTGCAGATGCAGCTCGACCTAGCCGTCTAGCGCACCACACACACCCTACCACCGTGGGGAAAATCGGGTTAGCCGGCTGCGCTCTGCAACTAGGCTAGAACCGCCGCTCCTAAACAGATACTGCCACAAGCTTGCGAAGCGAACGCGAGTGCCTTGCGACATCATGGCCCATGGGTCCCCCTTGGAACCGCTTCTGATGGCGTTGGATTTGCCATGTGTGCGTGGCTGGTCCGCGACTCGCCATGTGCATCATCAAGCCCATTAACTTGACAATGGGCCGGACCCTTTTTCTTCTTCTTCTTCCCTCTCCTCTCGTTCCCTACGCCCCCCCCTACTTTGTTATACTGATAGATACATCCAGATATACTACACGGGTAGGTACGATTAGGTCACGCCTTTCCAGCCCAGCTCGTCGATCGTCGCCTTGCCTTGACATTGGCGCAGTGACGTGCGGTAGATCATCTAAATGCGTCTTTTTTCCCCAGCGCATCCGAGGACGCGACCAGTCTATACACTCTCGTATCTGTATATGTACTTAGGTACATATGTGTGTGTTTGGACACGGTGTGCTCAATGGCACTTTGACGATATTTTGTTTTTCCTCGTCTGTTTGTCCTATTTGGAGTTGGCCCCACGGCACCCAGCGCTACCACTACCTTGATTTGATGGGTGCCAGAAGACTGCAATCTGTAATCGGCCCGATAACTCACAGAAGTTGTTGGCTGCGCCGCCTCGTTGAAGCGCGTTCCCAGGGTGTGGCCTGGGAGGGGTGCGGTATGTTCTGGGAGGACCAAGGCTGCAGTAGTGCATGACGTACATTTTGAGTTTGTCGAGGGTGAACTGGCGACGGGCCATGGCTACGCTTGGGTGGCATAGGAGGCAGGCCAACGTTGCACAGGCATGGCAGACCAAAGGCTTCTGCTTCGACGGCGAGGCACCTACTAGCTGGATGGGTGCAGGAACATGGTCTCCCGCCCGTGCATTAGGGCATGGAGCGCCACCACCGAGCTACACCATGGGCATGACGCTGCCCCAGAAGCCGGATGAAAGCGCCTTGGTAGCTTGGCTAGAGATTGGGTGAAAAAGCTCCGCAGACCTCCCTTGGCATCCTGGGCCTTGAAGACGACGTGCCCGTTGGCGCCAGGAGTCAAGAAAAACGGTATGTCCGCCAAGGCTGGGCTCCCAACTATTTTGTACTGCTTCGGTGAATTACAGCATGCTCGCCGTCTGCCTCGACGACGGCGACATGCAAATGCGGAGAATTGTCGCCGTCGCCCTTGTGTCTGCTGAGGCCCATGGAGCAGCGTGCTTTGACATTGACGACGCACGCTTAGCCCAATCAGGCATTCTAACCCCTAGAAGACAATGAACACAGTGAATACAGTGCTTGCTATTGGCTGCCGATACATGGCGCACATAGGAGAGAGTGCTAGGTGTAGATGGGTGCCAGTCGTCGACGACAGAGCGTCCCTTAGGCACATGGCTCTAGCCACGTCTGATGGCCTTCCCGTCCTTAGACGTGAACCCAAGCCTGAGTCCCCGATCATTTGACCGCCCGTGCGCATGCGCCGGCGAGCAGCGTCGAGGAACAAGCATGCACGCGACGGGACTCCATCTGCTGTCTACTTACTAGGTGTATAGTAATCATCCATCCATCCATCCATCCATATCCACCCCTGACAAACGCAAACTCAAGCTTCCCCCTACAGTCTATCCTTAGCCAAGCATCACGCACACGACATGTTCTGGCGCGCCAGAGCATAATCCGAGCCTGCGTGGATGCTCGGGCAGACTGCATCGTCCAAACCACCAAGGCGCTGGGGGCCCGCGCCGTCCCCCACACGCCACTACTCCAATTCAGTCGACCACTGCACGAATTGGAGCTCCTCGTATACCACCTACCCCATTGTCTATACATATCCGCATGCCGTCAATAACCCTCATCACCCTTCATGCCTCTAGCCTAGTCCCCGTATGCAGGGCGCCCTCAACTTGGACCTTGTCCGCTCGTGTTCCCCTTTGCCGGCAGCCACTAGGAGAACGTCATACCCTTCTCTCCCTCTCCCTCTCCTACCCAGGAGTTGCAGCCCAGCCAAGTAGAGGCAGAAACAATGCCCTGTCACCATCTATGTAATCTCCATGCATCAGCCCGCCTAGATTCGCCTTCCTGCTCTGATCTGCAGCCCACCCTCTCCTGCATCGCTCCCTCGCTCCCCAGCTCTCCTGACCGTGACACATGCATCACACCTCACCATACAGAATATCCATCTATGTACTCCATACAACACACTTCGTACTATGCATGCACAACAAGGACTCTCTGCCAGCCAAGAAGTGACTTGGCATGGCGTCGTGAACCAGGCGATCAGCACACTCAAGCCAGGCGCAGCAATATGAACTCGTGTCGCGTCGTATGGCCGTCTTTGGCCGGTCAATGACGTACGCTACAACGAGCTCACGACCTCCAAAACCTAGTCCTTTTGACATGGCAGATGGATCGAGGTCGAGACCGCACGCCATCTCGCTCATCTTGCAGACCTTGCCGCCGGTTAGCCACCGCAACCCGACAGTTCGGCACGTGGTCTACCAGGGTCCCCGTCGCCTTCTGCCGTTTTCACCATCACGACTCAGCGCCTCATGAGCTACGGGTCTCAACTCCGCCTATCATCAATTGGCCGGCTTGGACAGGACGCCTTTAGCGTCAGGGTCACGTCAAAAACTAAATACGTAGTGAGTTACTTTTCATCCGATAATTTTCGGACCTCGCCGCCTCACCACCCACGACAAGCATTCCAGAAGGGTGGCTGCACGTCTTATGCATACGTATTCTAGTACATATGTACTTACTATGTATGTGCTATATGGGACTTGCCATCGGATTTGCCCACCGCCATTCGCCCAGCGCCTCGTGGCCCCTTCGCCACACAAACTACACACACACGCCACGGCCAATGCCTTTATTCTAGCGCGCTTCACCATGCAAACTTGCCAATGGTCGCTCAAGAACCACGTGTTTTACTTCCTTCTCTGACATCCTGGCATTTCGCGTCAAATAAAAGTCTACTGCAATTAGCATGCATTGTACCTCGTGCTATTCGCTGTCTTGTTGGCTCTGTACGGGCTCCATTATCTAAGGTTTCGATACAGCCATGTGTGGGTTTGCGCGCCTGAACAAAATGCTTCGGCATAGCTTGTTTCTGCCAATGCTCCGAGTATCGACATTGAGTGTGCATCATTGGAATCCGCCTTCTCCGGATGCCCGGTAAAAGTTCTCAAATAGTCTGATAAACTATCAAAACGCCTCTCGGGCGACTTACCTCAGTGTGCAGGAGTGCTGTTGTGTGTGTTGCGCGCTGTTCGGGTTCGGGTTGATCCAACGTCGCTGGTCATGAGTGCGTAGCATGGATTGGCTCGCGAATCTCAATTGCGGATGATCGCCGGATACGGGGGGAAGGCACCGGCTACCCAGTTTTGGCAACAATCGGGTACGGGGCCGTGGAGGCGTCCTTTTCTGCTAGGGGGGCAAGGGCTACTAGGACGCGGGTTTTAAGCCGGGTTTTGACGACAACAACACTATGTATGTTCACCGGACCAGTGTCTGTATCCTCAACCTCCGTTACTCCGGCTTGCCTCGTAGACAGTGGCTTTCTGGCTTTCCTGGCCGTCTGACGGAGAGTCTATTTAGTGGGAACATTCAATTACTGTTGGTCATATCCTTCTATGGCATGTTACACTCCGGTTTTTCGCGACCCAGCTGTCTGGTGGCGATGGTTTCATTGAGATCTCCACATATCACCACAACTAGTCTCGTGATTATGTTACCGACTTCGCAGACTCAAATTTAGCACGTGCACACGTTTTGGGAGTTGGGTCCATTGGTTCGTTCACGGACCGTACGCGTGGAGCATCTCTAACCGACAGACAACTAGCAGTCGACAAAGAATTACGAGGTTCTTCACATATGTACCAATACTAGACTGTGGTCTGGAGTCATGAAGGTGCCTACATACTATGTACGTGCTTAGATACAAGTACCACCCGGCTAACCCATATCTGTTCTCCAAGCATCTCCGTCGGCCTCGGAAACCAAGAGTCAAGTGCACATGCACACGCCATCACATTTCGACTCCTTGTAACTCCTCAAGCATTGCACATGGATTGTGCTCGATACAACTTCACCGCCTATTGTATATCACTAAACTAACACAATTGACAAGAAACCCCAAGAGATTTGTAAGGGCGGGGTAACGGCAAATGTCCAGGCTGGACTACGACTACCACTTCTATGCACTACTCCTACAACTAATCCCACGATGATCCTTCTTTCTTGACCCTGTCTTAATCTTTTTTTCATTCATTTATTTTTCCCACCGAGAGAGTCGTGAAACCGCTTATCGCGCGCCTTATCCGCTATCTCTCCCTTGGCACCCTATCCTACCCGCTTCCCCCGACGATCCCCTACAATAGACTCCCGCTGCACACTTACTGCTGATCTCCAGTTGCCATCTTGGCTGTATGCACTAAGGTGGCTGTGTAAACCGACTAACGAGCTGTAGTCGGAAACTATAAACCAAGTGCGTCATTCGGGCTACTAATATATTTCCGGCGTTTGCCCTTTTTGAGGGATTGCTTGGCTTCAAGCGATGGGACCGGGTAGAGTACACGAGTGCTGCACCTCACTGCAACATGGAGATCTTGCACGTGAAACATATGAGTAGACGATGAGGTGCTGATCTGGTGCGGAGAAACGCAGTAATTATTGTGGTTACTGATTCATGAGTCGACATCCTTGTGATGATTTCTTACTCGCGATGTCGTGATCGCGTACAGCAGCGTTTCCCGTTGTCATCGTCCGCACATCCAAGTGGCAAACTCTAAGTAGTGTGTTTGATTAGTCCGTTTATCTTCATCACTGCTTCCGCATAGATTGAGATCTGCTCAGCTCTCCCAAGCGTAAAGCGATTGGTGGCAGCGTATACCGATGGCACGGCAATCACGTTCGCCAAGAAAGCAGCAACAATTGTTGTTCCGACATGCCACATTTATAAAACAACCATGCTAACATCGCATTATGGATTCACTTGGAAATTCTTATTGTAAACTGTATAAACTAGTAAATTAATACCTCAACAAGAGTCCCAATCTATCTGTTACTAAGACTCCATCACATTAACTCAGCATCGACTTTCCTTTTTTGACATGCATATTGTGCTGACAGCAGAGCCCCACAACTAGCATCACGGATCAACCACTCCTTTCTAGTAGATATCTCCACATCAGACTAGGAAAATCCCTGGCTCCAGCCATTTCCCTCCACCAATCCCAAAGAAACACGGTAACACTTTCTCCTGATCACCCCACCACATAAGATAAACAGTGTCATGTGTCCTTCACCGAAGCAAGGCTTCCCATGAACCCGTGGATCCCCCACTCTCCGCCATGAGGTTTCCTATCTAAACCCCGCATACAACACACAATGGAAAATAAGCACGTGGGACTCACTAAGTCTGGGGACTAAACACAATCCTTTCAAGAGTTTCAAGGCCCCATGTTCGACATGTTCTACCTAGTCAAGGGCCTGTTCAGCTTTTTCCTAGTTCCGAGTTCCATTTGGATCCCGATTTTTTCTAGCAATCGATGGAGAACTGCTGATGCTGTTTGTAAGAGTCTCGATTAATCAGTTGACCAGATGCTCCGAGTAACTTAAACTTTAACAGTCAGGCTAACTTCCTCACCTAAATTTGCCGTAGATAGAAGTTTGCCAGTATGCTCTGAATCCTTCGTGACCTATTTATCCTCAATGATGTTTTCCACAGTCGAAATCAGCGGAAAGAATGGACCAATTATTGCAAGTGATCTTGATGGGATGAACTATTTAGGCTTGAACCTTGTACTTCCCGCATTGTATACTTAGAACGTGTGGATATTGGTGTTGCTGAAAAGGGTGTGTTATTGCTGACATCTCACCTCTTGAAACACGGCAGCTTATCTACAGTCCTGCAAATTAATACGTATTCTTTCAAAATCGAACCGAGACTGAGAAAAAATGGTATTGTCTCTCCGGCAAGTATTCTTGGTTTGTTTTGAGACGCAATATCCAGGTTGAATGAGGTACCCGATCAAAGTAGTACAGCCCAGGTCATGTGACTACCACCCTCCGATTGGTCGGAAATGCGGCTCACCGGGTCACAGCTCATCAGCCGTCAGTTTCACGTAGCTTGCTTAGGTAATATCTTAAGCTCCAACTCGAAGGGCACTTTCCCCGCTGATCGCGCATCCAGTCGCGACAAGACCCTAACGAGTTCCTTATTCACCAGCGCGTCTGTCCTCGCTTTTCTGGCGCAATCGCACCTGTCTCTACTTCTCTGCTACACAGTCAGTGATAGAGACACTCAGTCCTCTCGTCAACAAGAATCCAGCTGACGCCCAGAATCTCCATTCTGAAGCCATCATAGCAGCGCGAAAATCTTCAGAATGTCTCACTCGAGTTCCGCTTCAGAGGGCGAGCTCCCCGACACCCGACACAAGGCAAACACAGTCAACTCGCGCAACGAATCTGCGATTAACGGCTCAAACAGGTCCTTTGGACTAGATGGTGCCCATGATAATTACCGCGCCCTGAGTCGTTCTCCTTCGCCATATCGCCGCAAGCGAACCCCGTCACGATCGCCTTCGCCATTTCGGAAGAACCGTGCAGCCGACCGCTCGCCATCGCCATATCGACGGAGCCGAGCCGAACAGAGTGGCAGTGATACCCGGGGCTACAAGCGCAAGGCTTCTCCGCCACGCGGTCGTCCCGACAAGCGTTACCATGCTGATCGTAGCAGAAACGGTGAGCCCCGACGGGTTACAGGCCAGCCTCCAGTAGCGTTTGCAAGAGAGCGCAAAGACGTCATAGATAGATCGCATGCGAAGCCAATCTCATATGCCGAGGTTGAGAACCCTAACCCAGTCCCCAACTTCCGCGAAACACTCCCCATAGAGACCAATCGTCAGCAGCCACGAGACAAAGGTCAGGAGCAAACCAGGGCTCGCAAGCCAAATGAACAGCAACAGCAGACGCCGTCCGAGAGCGCGAAGACCTCAGTTGCACAGGCTAGCGTATCCGAAGATGTTGAAATGTAAGGACATTCTTTACTGAATCGAAGTTTTAACGGATGCTGACAGTTGCTAATAGGAAAATGGATGATGATACCACTGATTTCACCCCAGCGCCTGTCGAAGACAAAGTGCCTACCCAGGAATCGCGCGAGGAGAAGCGCCGTCGCTGGGCTGCCATACGTGCTGCTACTGAGCAACAAAAGGGCAAAGAGAACCTCTTGCAACAAGCCATTCTCACTAATGCGTCAGAAGCGAATACGCCTAACTACGCTTCGCCAGCAGCATTTGCAGATAGTCCCATATCTCCTTTTGCATCACCCCGCAATGGCGACTTTGAATCTGCACCAGCATCACCTGACATTATGGTGATTGACAAGCAGGGAGAATTCAGCGAGGGAAACAGCCCGGCGGCGGCAAGCCCATCAGCAGCAGATTACGACCCCATGCAGGACATGCTGGACGACCGGAATCGAGCAGCGCAGAAGAACCAAAATGCCGAAGTGTCTTCGGATGCATATCGCGAGACCGACCCGAAGAATCTTTCCACTTTGCCGGCTGAGAAGGTGGCACCTGTCAGGAAACAAAAGAAGGAATTCGACATGTTTGCGTCTGATGATGATGAGGACGAGGACGAAGATGTGGAAACCGAGACAAATGTCGTTGCGAAAGGAACCGTTCTCGATGAAAAGCTACTGGACAACTGGGACGATCCTGAGGGATATTACAAGCTAATCAGTAATGAGTTGGTAGATGGTGGACGTTATCGAGTGATTAAGGGTCTTGGCCGCGGTGTGTTTGCCAATGTCGCACAAGCAGAAGAGGTGGGGACAGATAATGGAGATGCCAGCCCAAAGATTGTGGCCATCAAGATGATTCGACGCAACGACTTGATGAGGAGAGCCAGTCAAAAGGAAATGGACTTTTTGCGCAAAGTCAACGAAGCAGATCCTCAGGATAAGCGCCATATTATTCGTCTGTTGGGTTCGTTTGATCACAAGGGTCATCTGTGCATAGTCTTCGAACACATGTCGAAGAACTTGCGAGATCTGCTGAAAGAGGAGACCAACGGTCACGGTCTTACACTCCCCGCAGTGCGGATATATGCACGCCAGATGTTCCTTGGTCTTCAGCATCTACAGAACTGTCAAGTCATTCACCTTGACTTAAAACCTGATAACGTCCTGGTCTCTGCTGACAAAAAGACCATCAAGCTTGCCGATTTCGGTACCGCCGTCGACAAGCGAGACGTCATTGAACGCACCGAGTACCTTGTCAGTCGATTTTACCGTGCGCCCGAGATTATACTTGGCATGGACGTAGGATACCCCGTCGATATGTGGGCTGTAGGCTGCACAGTGTATGAACTCTGGACCGGCAAGATTCTCTTCACCGGGCGATCCAACAACCAAATGATCAAGTCATTCATGGACTGCTTGGGATGGCCAAGCGAGAAGCTACTCAAGAAAGGTCTCGTCAACAATGTTCTCGATAACTTCGAACTTGGACCCCCCTTGAAATTCATTAGCCGCGAAGTCGACCAGTTCAACAAGGTAAATCACCCTGCATCCTCTAAAGGAAAAGCCCCCAAATTAACCCACCACACAGTTCTCCATCCGCAAAATCGAACAGCAAAAGAAGATTCCTCGCGACATGAAAACCCGCGTCCACGATGCCGCTCGCAACATCTCAAACGACGGCCCCACAGCCGCAGAGCTGAACGACCTAGCCGACCTGCTAAGCGCAACCTTGCACATGAACGTGGAAAAGCGTCTGACGCCCAAGGAAGCGCTGGCGCACAAATTCTTCGCCAGTAAGACGTCTGCCCCACCCAAACCTCCTGTCCCTGGGAAATCTGCAGTCGTCAAGCCGCCCATGATGAAGCGTGGTACGCCGGTTAACTCGCCGGGTATGCGGAGGGGAGGGTGAGGAAATTGGGCTAGTTTATTGTACAAGAAGTAAATACGTATGGAACCTTGCCCTTTCTTGCATGCTTTGCTTTGGACTGGAGCGGGAGTGATGGGAATTGCTTTTTCTTCTTCTTTCATTCTTTTGGACGTACGTGGCTTTGCTTTAGCGTTGGAAGCTAGCGGGGATCTGGCATCGAAAGGGGGGGGAAGGTACGATGCATGGTATCGAGGAACTTGGTACGCTACTTGGAGGAAAAGGAAAGGGATGAGGGTTCAGGGGTCTGGGATGAATTAGATGCAGGAATGAGCAAGGAAGCTAGTGTTATCATATGCCGGGTGGGTTAGCTTTGTGCCGCATGAAATTTTGTGTGAAGGCCACATGTGCAGAGGTGTTTATTGTGTTTATCAACATTTACGTCGACGTATATCCAAGTCAGGGACTGGGATATCTCAGCTCGTCAGGTATATAGACAAACACACGCTGTATTCAAGCGTCGATTTCTCTCCTCAAGAACGCTTTTACCTTCTCGCCCCAAACCACTTGTCGCTTGTACACTGTGATTTTTGGCACTGTGCCGCGACCTAAGCCATCGATTGCTTCAGCAAGTATGTGTCCGTTTCCTTCATTTCTTATTTGTTGAATTGGATAGACATACGTCTATTTGAGAAAAAAATGTCAGCAAACTCAACCTCCCATATTTTTCTTCAATACACAAGATAACAAACATACCTTGAACCCAAACACCAACGCCCCCGTTCGAGGCAACCGATGCAATGTCTGCCTCTCACACCTCACCACCGTCTTATCAAGCTGCACACTTTCCTCCTGGCGCTCGCGCTCGCGCGGCGTCTCAAGCTCACTCTCACTCATATGGGCGCCCGCAAGACAAAACAAGTCGCCAGTAGTACTGATACTCCAATTAACGCGCTTTACGATTTTCCCCACGGGAAACGCGGAAAAATAGCGGTCCATGCTCTTTTCCAGCTTCTCGGCGTAGTGGGGGACAGGGGCGTGGATGGCGGCGAGGGAGAGGCCGAGTTTGGAGAGGGTGGAGAAGCCGGCGGGGAAGCAGTTTATGAAGGCTGTTAGGCGATATGGTTCTAGGGTTTGGGGAGTTGTTGGGTTGTCTTGTTTTTGGAGTAAGAGGAATTCGGTGTCGATGTTTTCGCCAAGGATTTGGAGGGCGAGTTCTGGGGAGGTGACTTGGAGGGGTATGACGGTGTTTGTGGCGTGGTTTTTTAGGTAGGTGGATGCTGGCTCTTCGCTGGCAATGTGGTGGACAATGCTATAGATGGAAGGGAAGCGACGTGGTAGGTAGGTTCCTATGGCCCATGTATATAATTCCATGACTGCAGGGACGGCTTGCGGTTCATAGGCTATGACTTCTGACCGCTGATCTTGAATTATTTGGCGGCGAATGTCGAGACGTTCCAGGTAGGTGTTGTCCATGGTGACGAGGTCGGAAAGTGTCGTGTTTTCGAGGGCTGGGGAACACTGTGTCAGCCCGGTAAATACATGATATATCTGCTGTTTTCTGGGGGTGTTATGGCAAAGACATACCCATGGTCATGTGGTACTTTGGTTTGAATGGCCGCAGCTGGAGAGGTTCTGTCGTCTCGAGATCAAAGTCTGAGAGGGGCTCGATGGAGTAGTATGCCGCTTCCGAGTGCTCTTCTCCAGAGGGATTCTTTTCCACAGATGTAATTGGCTGCACATTCTGAGTTGAAGTCAGCTATGCTGATGATGTACAGTGAGGGATACGAGCGATGTACTTGTTTGCCTCTGATTCTCTGGCCGGGCCGTTTCCTATTCCAGGCGTAGAGAACAATGCTGAGCACCAGTAGCAAGGACCATGGTAGCAATCCAACAAACTGGTCAGCAGTTAGTTGATTCATGGCAATAGTTTGGTGTGTCCCAATATGTTCTCACGCAATCATGTGGGGTTGAACGAGTTAAATGTTTGGTGTGTTGCATGTCAAGTACACAAGGCGTACAATTGACATGGCAGCAACACGTCATTGCGGATAAGGTAGGATTTGAGAGAGCGCGAACCGGGAGAAGTCGGTACACGCGATAGACGCCATTGCCATCAGGCAAAGAGGGAAAGAGGTGGGATGCGATTGCCTATCGGGGCGAACCCCGCATTGGGAACATTGACGCTAGAGAGTGGACGATAGACACCCGTTGGCATCTTGATAGCGGGTACGGCCTGAACTCTTGTAGAAATGAAGGATATCCAGGTCGAAATTTATGAATTCAGCATTCCTTTTGGCAACAGCAACTTTTTCTAAATCTATACTTTGTGTTTGATAGCAGTCTATGACTCGCTGTACGCACTCGGCTTGATCAGCCCGAGTCAGAACTGTCATGGCCTGAGGGTTTCTCGAAGCCCGGTGAATTGTCCTACTTGTTTTTTTCATCCATAGTAGCACGGAACGTCGTATTGCATTGGTAAGTGCCTAAGCCTAAGCCTTGGCCTCCTCAGCCTCCGGGTGGCCCACGGGCACCAACTTGCCTACAACCAAATACTTTTCACTGAATCGCTCCTCCCAGCCTCGTAGTGCGTCCATCTGCTCATCATCCAAGCCCTCCAACGTGTCGAGGGGGCCGTCCAAGTCCTTGGTTAACATATCCTCGTCGAAGCTGCCGCACGCCAGGCCTCTCGTGGCATCCCTGCCAGCAAAATTTGCGTAGGGGCCACCAGGGCCGTAGAAGTTGCGACCAGGGGTGACGTCAAAGACACGTCCGCGGACAGCTAGATAGACTGGCATGTTGTTGAGGCCATTATAGGGAAACAGTGAGGGCGGAGTGAAGGTACGGAAAACGGTTGGGGGCGGAGCCGGCGGAAGAGTCTGGGGAGTCGAGGGCTTGAGACGGAGGTAGACCAGGACACCGAAGAGCGAGAGTAGGGCAAGGTTGATTGGAGTGAAGACCGAGGCGCTGCGACGAGGGGGTTAGCCGGGCGAGGGAGGGAGGGAGAAGAAGAAGAAGAAGAAGAAGAAGAAGAAGAAGAAGAAGAAGAAGAAGAAGAAGAA